TTCAAAAGCAAATTCCTCACGATGCACATCTTCAGGGGGAGTTCTTCTACATCTTGCAATCAAATTCCTCAATATCAGTATTTACACTTCATATGATTATCCCCGTTGAAAACTTAACCTATATTGTCATCAAGCACCAAAAAGGGGGAGATTGTAAGTGCATCTAGTGCCCCTTAGTGATTTTGGTGTATTGAAGACTTATAGGTTAAGGGACTGATGCCTTTGTGAGTGTACACGGGTCTATAAGTCTATGAGGAGTTTGATATTTATAGAGAAAATCGACCCCTAAAACTGAAGTTCTTCTACTAAAAACTTTGGATTTCTGAAGACTTTCTGAAGATTTTGAAAGTGAAGAAATTGGTGTGACCTTGAAGACTTGGAATTCATTCGAGGAACATGAAGCGTGAAGACTTTTGTTTTCGTAGTTTCATTTTCTCTTTCTTGAGTCATAAGAAACACCGTACTGTTAAAGGGGGTCGAGGAAATACTAAGGAAAAATTTCCATGTGATGCTCAACTCAAAATCCTACACCTACCAATCCCTTCGAGTGAAGCCATTGGAAATCTCATACAGTTCAGTCATATTCTTCAGTGACAGAGACGAAGTTCTTCTGGTCTCTCAGGAATTTGTTCTGACTGAGGAGTTAGGAATTCGCCAGTGCGAATTGCCTACACAGTGAGGAACATGATAGCCCTGAGGAATTTGAGAGTCAAAATTCCGACCGTTGCTGTGCTACGCGCCAGCTGTCCCAAAATATCTACCCACCTAACGGTCATATTATTGAAGGGCATTTATGTCTTATCATGTCGGGCTGCTCCCTAGGTTATAAATAGCCACCCCCTACAACCACTAGTTGGTTTGCTACTCCGAGAGAAACTGACACTTGTCATTTGAGAGCATCCCATCCTCCGAGGACTTTCAGCCAAAATCATCAAGTGAGGAAAACCCAAAACCCAAACCCAAACACCTTCAAATCCAAAGTGATTGAGCATCACTGAAGAGATTGATCCTGCGTGGATCCGACGCTTGTTACCTTTGAAGATTGTGCTTCTTCCAGACGGTTAGGCGTCAAGGTCTAGAGCATCTATCCAAGAGGAATTGTGGATCGCCGAGTGACTGAGTTTGTGAAGGTCTGGAAGTCAACTGAAGACTTACCACGAGTGATTGGGCGAGGTCTGTGTGACTTTAGCTCATGGAGAATACGGTGAGGACTGTGTGTCCGGGACTGTGTGTCCTTTGGTTTAAATACCTAGCTTCTCCAACCAGATATACAACTGAGATAGCAGTTGGAACTGGTCTACCAAATCATTGTCTTCACCAAGCTTACTGGTTCTATTTCCTTAACTCTTTCAATTCCTCATTTCACTTGTTGTGTGCTTGTTCATATCTGTTTGAAGACTTTGACTGAAGACTTTCTCACTTTCCTCAGTTCTATTTCTTCAGTCTGTCCGTCTTCATCTTGTGTTATCCTATGTTTACGCTTTCTGTACTCTGTGCTTGTCTTCATTTCATTGTGATGACTATGCTTGTGTTCTATTATGTTTACTTCTGAGTATTTATTCCGCTGCAAGTAGTTTTTCGCTAAGGAATTTCCTCACCAGCTAATTCCTCAGTGAAGAATTCATAAAAATCGCCTATTCACCCCCCTCTAGTTGATATAACTCACTTTCAAGATAGAAAATTTGCAAAATACATACTGCTCTGAATTTAGCAGACCCGTTGACTAAACTTCTCTCACAAGCAAAACATGATCACACCTTAGTACTCTTTGGGTGTTAATCACATAGTGATGTGAACTAGATTATTGACTCTAATAAACCCTTTGGTTGTTGGTCACATGGCAATGTGAACTATGGGTGTTAATCACATACAGATGTGAACTATTGGTGTTAAATCACATAGCGATGTGAACTAGATTATTGACTCTAGTGTAAGTGGGAGACTGAAGAAAATATGCCCTAGAGGCAATTATAAAGTTGTTATTTATATTTCCTTATATCATGATAAATGTTTATTATTCATGCTAGAATTGTATTAACCGGAAACTTAGTACATGTGTGAATACATAGACAAAACAAAGTGTCCCTAGTATGCCTCTACTTGACTAGCTTTTTAATCAAAGATGGTTATGTTTTCTGACCATAGACATGTGTTGTCATTTGATGAATGGGATCACATCATTAGAGAATGATGCGATGAACAAGACCCATCCATTAGCTTAGCATAATGATCGTTATGTTTTATTGCTATTGCTTTCTTCATGACTTATACATGTTCCTCTGACTATGAGATTATGCAACTCCCGAATACCGGAGGAACACCTTGTGTGCTATCAAACGTCACAACATAACTGGGTGATTATAAAGATGCTCTACAGGTGTCTCTGAAGGTGTTTGTTGGGTTGGCATAGATCGAGATAAGGATTTGTCACTCCATGTATCGGAGAGGTATCTCTGGGCCCTCTCGGCAATGCTCATCAGTATAAGTCTTGCAAGCAATGTGACTAATGAGTTAGTTGCGGGATGAAGCATTACGGAATGAGTAAAGAGACTTGTCGGTAACGAGATTGAACGAGGTATGAAGATATCGATGATAGAATCTCGGGCAACTAACATACCGATGACAAAGGGAACAACGTATGTTGTTGTGCGGTTTGACCGATAAAGATCTTCGTTGAATATGTAGGAGCCAATATGAGCATCCAGGTTCCGCTATTGGTTATTGATCGAAGATGTGTCTCGATCATGTCTACATCGTTCTCGAACATGTAGGGTCCGCACGCTTAACGTTTGATGATGATTTGTATTATGAGTTATGTGTTTTGGTGACCGAAGTTTGTTCGGAGACCCGGATGAGATCGCGAACATGACGAGGAGTCTCAAAATGGTCGAGAGGTAAAGATTGATATATTGGAAGGTGGTATTCGCACACCGGAAGGGTTCGGAAGTGTATCGGGTACAAACCGGAGTACGGAAAGGGTTACCGGAACCCCCCGGTGGAAGATATGGGCCATATGGGCCATGGGAGGGAGGCTAACCAGCCCACAAGGGCCGGTGCGCCCCCACAAGGGAGGAGGCTGAATTGGACTAGAGAAAGAGGGCGCCACCCCCCCTTTCCTTGTCCTACTCCCTTTCCTTCCCCGTTTCCACCTCCGTAAGAAGGAAAAAAGAGGGGGGGGGGCAAATCCTACTAGTAGTGGATTCCTAGTAGGACTCCCCCGTCCCTTGGTGCGCCCCTGGTGGTCGACCTCCTCCTCCCTCGTTTATATACGGGGGCAGGGGGGCACCCCAAAGGCACAACATTGTCTTAGCCGTGTGCAGTGCCTTCCTTCACCGTTTACTCCTCCGATAGTATCATCGTAGTGCTTAGGCGAAGCCCTGCGCGGATCACATCATCAACACTGTTGTGCTGACGAAACTCTCCCTCGACCCTCTGCTGGATCAAGAGTTCGAGGGACGTCATCGAGCTGAACATGTGCTGAACTCGGAGGTGCCGTACATTCGGTGCTAGATCGGTTGGATCATGAAGATGTTTGACTACATCAACCGCGTTAACATAACGCTTCCGCTTTCGGTCTACGAGGGTACGTAAGCACACTCTTCCCCTCTCATTGCTATGCATCTCCTAGATAGATCTTACGTGACTATATGAAAAGTTTTGAAATTGCTTGCTACGTTCCTCAATGGAGGTGTGGCGGGGGGGGGGTGAATTG